TGGCCCGGCTGGCCCCGCGCTCGCCGACTGAGGGCTTTACTTGTCTCTTTCGTGCCTAGCTCAGGACCCGGCAGCCAGCAAAGGAGACACGTGAGCAAAGCAAAACGGATTTGACTTGTGGGAGAAGCTGGGGTACCGTTTTAGTGAAATTCCCCAAGTTAGGGGATATGCTGGGCTGTGGATTGACGTTAGTCTTTTAGAACAGCGTTTCGCGTATATACCCCGAAATTGTGATGATTAACGTCAGGGGTGAAAATTGGGCGACTTAACCTTGAGCAATTTTGTCTAGGTAGGTCCCCACGTTGGTAGGTGCTTAAATCAGTCTGGGCCCTAACATCTGCCACCACTACCACCCCTACCCCTACCCCAACCCACCTACTCCTGGGGCCTTTCCTCACCCAATTTGTTTCCCTGACATTAAGTAACAAAGTCTGGATCTTAATTTTTTAAACTATCTCCTGTTCACCATCCACTCTGGCGCAGCCTCTTCACTCTTCAGCCCTGGTCCCTTTCCAAGTCTCCCTCTGGTCTCTCCAAACCCCAGCTTCAGCCACGTGCCAATCCCACCGTTCAAAACCAGCCCAGCAGCCTCAATGGTTTTCCCTTCTTTGCTGTCCAGAAGTAACTCTGGACATAAATGTTGATGTACAGAAAGACGTCCTGGACAGCTCCAAGTGTGTGTGTTGTATTATGTAAATTAGGAAATATTAAAGATATACAGAAAATAATATTAACAATATTCAGGCCCGTTACTACAAAGAGTAAACACAGCAGAACACCCTGCACCATTTACTTGTGATTTATTAAAGAAATATAAAATTAAACATAAGTAAAACCCCACCCCTATTTTCTTTCTTCCTCCCCAGAGAGAGTTACCATGCTCAAGTTGGTGTATATCATTCCTGTTCATGTGTTTATACTTTTATTACATATGATATATGTATCCAGAAACTACATGAGGAATACCAAATTTTATGTTTTGAAATGTTATAAAAAGGACATCATGCTGAAAAATCTTTTGCAACATTTTCATTCACTGTTATGTTTTCAAATTTTATTTGTGTTGATTCACTTAACTACTGTATTCACTATGTTCTTGGGTTTGTTTTTGGTATGTCTCTCATGTACAGCATATAACTGAATTTTTTAGAAAATTTGACATGTGGGTATATCTCTATTAGGAGCTCTGGTAGCGTAGTGCCTAAGGCACTTGATTGCTAACCAGAAGGCTGGTTGTTCAAACCTACCAGCCACTCCTCAGAAGGAAGGTTGGGCAGTCTATTTCCATAGCGACACTGCCTCAGAAACCCAAGGAGGGGTAGCTGTGAGTCAGATCCAACTTGACAGTGGTGAGTTTGGTTTGTATTTTTTATTTTCTTTCATTTTATTTTGTGCTATTTACCATGATTTTTCTGTACATTTTATTTCCTACTTTCCTGCTATAATTGCTGTCATTCAATTTCAAGGAATAAAATCCATTCTAGATAGTATAAGACAAAGGAACTTATTTCAGAGTATGACATGGCTTAAGGACTTATTTAGAAGGCTGACAAAGCAGTCTCCCAGATGAATGTTCAGAAATGACTGAGAGGCATAGTGCAGAAATAAGCCACCAAAGGAGCCACTGCCTTTTCTAAAATCAGCAAACCACCTATTGAATTGGAAAGTTGCCACTATACTTGCCAGCTCCTGAACCATTCAGCAATTGTCGTGATAAGAAGCCACAGCAGAAATATCAGACATGTCCACAACAATGCTCACAAGCAAAAATAGCACACACATAGTCTCTGCTTTGTTTCCACCCTCCAAATCTCATAAAAGAGAAAATTTGATTGGAAGAACCAAAATCACATCCAGAATCCTAGCTGCAAGGACATCTGGGAAATGTAGTTTTAACCTTCCAGCTTCTGCAACGTGTTTGTTGTTAGTTGCATTGGAGTTGCAACCCCATGAGTGTCAACACAGAACTGTGCTCCACAGTTTTCAAAGCTGTGACCTTTTGGAAGTAGATCACCAGACCTGTCTTCCAGAGGGCCTCTGGGTGGGTTTGAATTGCCAGCCTTTTGGCTAGTAGTTGAGGGTTTAACCATTTGTGCCACTCAGGGATTCCTGTAAGGAACTGTAGTGGCATAGTTGTTAAAACATTTGGCTACTACCTAAAACGTCAGTGGTTTGAACCCACCAGCTGCTCTGTGGAAGAAAGATGAGGCAGTCTGCTTTGATAAAGATTTACAGTCTTCGAAACACTATGGGGCAGTTCTACTCTGTCCTAAAGGCTGCTGTGAGTTGAAATCAACTAGATGACAGGTTTGATTTGGTTTGGTTTGGGATTCCTCTGCAACACAGGAAAGCACACTGAAAGGACATTCAAATGGGTGTTGAGCTAAATTCAGTGTATCTACCCACCAGGTATCTATAATACTGGCATTCTATTGGATTGAGTATTTTTTATTTCTCTTCCTCTTAACTGAGTTGGTGTTTATTCTATTTCTTTTCTTTTCATACCTAACTTAATCATTTTAAATTTATACTTTAAATCAAATTAATACATGTGAATTACTTAAGAAGTAAAACAGTTTTTACAAGTCTTATCATTTTAAAAAGCAGTCATTTCATCAGGTATGTCTAGGCAAAAGGGAACATACCCATAAGGTTGGCAGATGATATTTCTACTTACATATTTATATGTGCTATGTTGTTGTTGTTGTTATGTGCCATCGAGTTGGACCCGACTCATAGCGACCCCTCCTTGGGTTTCCAAGGCAGTATCACTATGGAAGTAGATTGCCCCATCTTCCTTCTGAGGAGTGGCTGGTGGGTTTGAACCACCAGCCTTCTGGTTAGCAGTCAAGTGCCTTAGCCACTATCCTACCAGAGCTCCCATATGTGCTGTAAGAATGTCCAAATATATAATAGAGCTAACAAGGGGCAAAGTTATAATAACTTCTTAGCCACAGCCAAACATTCTGAGGGAGCAAGTAGTTAGACCTATGGGCTTGGAACTATGGTTGCAGGGGACATCAAGCTCAATTCGCTTGATGTAACCAAATAAGCAAGCTCAAATAACCAAACCAAAACCAAACTCACTGCTATAGAGTTGATTTCAACTCATAGCGACCTCTTTTCGGATTTCCAAGGCAGTATCTCTATGGAAGTAGATTGCCCAATCTTCCTTCTGAGGAGTGGCTGTGGGTTTGAACCGCTAGCCTTCTGGTTAGCAGTCAAATGCCTTAGGCACTACACCACCAGAGTTCCCATCGGCATAACATAGTACAGAAAAACATTGTTCTACATCCTACTTTGGTGAGTAGCGGCTAGGGTCTTAAAAGATTGCAAGCAGCTATCTAGATGCAACAATAGGTCTCTCTTTGTCTAGAGCAAAGAAGAAAGAAGAAAATGAAAGACACATGGAAACAATTAGTCGAAGAGACTAGTGGTGGTGGTGGTCCATGCAAACCGTAGCTTATATGACCATGAGACCAGAAGACCTAGATGGTGCCCACCTACCAGTGTCAACCACTCAGAAAGGGATCAGTGCAGAAGATCCTGGATAGAGTGGGAGAACAATGTGGAACAAAACTAAAAAAAAAAAAAGAAAGACAGACCAAGTTTACTGGTCTCATAGAGCCTAGTGAGACCCCAAAAACTGTGGCCCCTAGTTACCCTTCAGGTCTGGAACTGAACTCCCTCCTATGCCTTCCAGCCAAACAGTAGACAGGTAGCTCTTTAGAGCAATCAGTTGATCAATCATGAGAGAACAGAAGGACACTGTTTGTACTGGGAGATAACTCAGGGGGCAGGAATGCGTAGGAAAGAAGGACACAGGGAAAAGGTAACTACAGGAAGGAAGTGGGAAGAGAGCTATTACATTGTGGGGAATTGCAGTCAATGTCATGAAACAAAATGTATATGAACTGCTGCTGTATGGAAAATGAATTTGCTCTGTAAACTTTCACCCAAATCACAATAAAAATTAAATAGTCATTTCCAATTTCCACTATAAATAATAAGCTTATCCTGCTGTTTTGTGATATTTTTCTTTCACTTTAGATGTTAGATACTGATTTCCTGTTACGAAAGAGGAAGAATTGGCTATTTTCTGCTCTAATAAAGACAGTTTTCACTTGCCTGCATTCTTTCAATGTAGTTATTTGATAATTTTTGGTTAAGTCAATATTTAGTGTTAACATAGTTTACTATAGTTCCATTTTTCTACATTTTTTAAAATACTTTTCTTGAAATTAAAAGATCTCATTTTTTGTTTGTTTCAATTTCTTTCTACAAATTATTTCCTGAACTGTCTGACGGAACTGTGATATTTCTCTCTGTGATTAAACACATTACTGACTTTATCAATGATCGGTTTTTTGGGGAAACTTCTTTTCTCGAGTGTTCTGCCTTCTTGTCCCAACCCAGACTGGTGCTTTCTAGGCATATTGTACTGCTATAGGGTTGAGTCTTCCCTCACCATCATCCTGTGAAGACTTTTCATCTCTTATATTCTGACCAAGAAGGTTGTTTTCCTTCTTCCTTCCTGTACACCTTCGTTTTGACAGTACATTTTCTAATAGTTTCCTGAGGAGAAGAGCACATAAAAGGTAAAATCCTTGAGTGTATGTGTGAGGATCTTTTTATTTTACCCTCATACTTGATTGATAGTTTGGTCAGAATTACTCACTCAGCTTCATTGGAAATCCTTTCACTTAGAATTTTGAAGACATTGCTTCATTGATTTCTAGTTTCCAGTATTGCTTCTGGGAAGACCACTTA